TGATCAACGATCATTATTAAGTTTAATTATTTATTTAAATGATAATTTTGAAAAAGGCAAAACAAAATTTTATTTTCCAAAACAATCACCCAAGTTTCATGTTAAAGGATTAACAATTAAACAAGAAATTGAAGTTTATAATGGTTTAGAACATCGTTATAAATCTGTTAAAATAAAACCAAAAAAAGGTCATGCTATTCTATTTACACATAATCTTTTACATGAAGTTATAGCACCAGAAATAAACAAGTCTTCTGATATCAAAGAGGGTATTATATTACGAACGGATATACTTGTTAAGCGAACAGAAAAACCATTAGGATTTGCAATAACTCCAGAAGAAAGAGACAATTATCAGAAATGTTTAAATTTTTTCTATGAAGCACAACGAAAAGAATTTAATATGTATAGTAATAAATCGAATCAATCAATAGAATTAAATGATATTGAAGAATTATATGAACGTGCATTATCTATTCGATCTTCTTATCCATGTTTACTTGAATTAAAATTAAAAGAATCAGTTATAAATGAGCAAAATAAATTGATTGAACAATTACCAACAGAAATATGGCTTTCTATATTTAAACATATAGATAAACAAGATATTCAGAACTTAACATTTGCTTTTCCTGATTTTCAATCATTGAAAACCATTTGGGAAAATGAAGAATTGAAAAAATTTGAAAAATATTTATTTCGAGAAAAGTTTATTCCTACAATCGTTAATCAATATTTTGATCAACCATTATTTTGTTTTGTCGATTCGAATTTTTTCTTTCAACATATTGATCAATGTTGTCGTATTGCTGCTATTTATGCTTTTTTTCTATTAGGACATGAAAAAGATTCAAGAACTTATACTATTCATTATGATCGAAACACACAAGCAGTATGTGAAATAGACATAGAAAGAGTTTTATACAGTGTATTCTATAATCAAAATTGCTACGGTTCTCTCTATCGAGTTACACAAAAAGATTGAAAATAAGCGACAACCAATAATCGATTTCGATCATAGTGTTGATCGTACTTATATGACAAATCGTCATCAATCACAATTCATTGGGCAAGATCTTTTATCACGTTTTCGTTTTAAAACAAAAACGATTAGTGATTTAAATGATATAAAATCAGATTCGACTATGAATGTTGATAATGAAGAACACGAAGTCTATGAACAATATTATTCTCAATACGAAAAAGAAAAGATTATGACGAAGATACTAAGAGAAATTATTGATTGTGATCAACTTTTTGATCCGGATAAAATTGATAATCGTGTTTATCATTGGAGAAATTGTAAATATGATTATGATGATATATTAGCTTAT